ACAAGGGACCCCACTATAAAGTAAAAATAAACTGACTTACGGTTCGGTAGTTCTACCTGAAAAGAGAGAAATAACAAAAATTAGCTTGACTCAAAGATTCCAAGTCTACAGGCCACGTCATGGAGCAGGAAACAAATTCATTGTAACAGACTGAGATACACTTTCTACTTCAGTGTTAAAACAAACCGTTTTTCTTAAAGAAAGTTCTGGGACTTACCGAACACTTAAAGCTCCATTTTCCTGCAAGCACAAAACGGATGTGTTTGGCAACGTCCTGGCGCCAAACAAACGCGAATCAACACCGACTATAGCGACCGACGCAGAGAACAGCACTTTTCCGCGGACCAAACAAATTCAATTAACGCTTGCTCTCAAAATTTAAACCGCCTGTAGCCACGCCCACTGCGCACGGACCTCGTTGATGATTGGTCTGCGGGAACCGCATCGCATCAACGTACTTCCTTTCCCGTGACCGATAATCGTTCTACCTGTGCAGATATGCTTGTTATGTAACAGCAAGGGGCGGGGGAACAGTTAAAGGCACAGGCTTGATCAGCTGATGATAGTGTTTGCAGAAAACAGGCCATTCTTTCATATTAAGTGACAGGATGTCTGTGCTTTTGAACACATAGTGAGTACTGCCACAAAGAGCCCAGACACGGGGACACAGCCTTAATATCAAGTGTGATTTTATAGGTTTTATTTTATCCAGTCATGAATCTACACAGGCTAGATCAAGGAATGGATTTTTAAACTCTCTCTGCTGAGTTTCTGATTCATGCTGGGAGAACATGGTGTCCACATTGTCTGACCACAGACAGGCTGCTGTTCACTGCTCTGTTGGAATCTAGTCTGTTATTTGTTTCAGTCATTATTTTTCATTAAAAATGGATTTGCAGTTGCAACATTACCTGGAGGACATTCATGCTTCTCTTCAGAAGTTTGCTAAACATCTTTTAAAATATTTAGCTTTATTTTGAAAATCTTGCCCCATTCAAATGAATGGGAAAATTCTACTTCAGCATAATTTCAGCTATCAAAATATTCAGCTCTTCAAGGACATTCATGCTTCTCTTCAGAAGTTTGCTAAACATCATATTTTGAAATATTTAGCTTTATATTGAAAATCTTGCCCCATTCAAATGAATGAGAAAATTCTACTTCAGCATACTTTCAGCTGTTTCAACTATTAAAATGTTCAGCTCCTCAAGGACATTCATGCTTCTCTTCAGAATTTTTCCAAACTTCCTACTTTTTAAATATTCCACTTTATTTTGAAAATCTTGCTCCATTCAAATGAATGGGAAAATTCTACTTCAGAATAATTTCAGCTATCAAAATGTTCAGCTCTTCAAGGACATTCATGCTTCTATTCAGAATTTTTCTCAACTTCATACTTTTGAAATATTTAGCTTTATTTTGAAAATTTTGCCCTATTCAAATGAATGGGAAAATTCTACTTCAGCTATTTCAGCTATCAAAATCCTCAGCTCTTCAAGGACATTTATGCTTCTCTTCATAGGTTTTCTAAATTTCATACTTTTAAAATATTTAGCTTTATTTTGAAAATTTTGCCCTATTCAAATGAATGGGAAAATTCAACTTCAGAATACTTTCAGCTAGCAAAACCATTCAGGTGTCAAAATGTTCAGCATTTTGAGGGTGATCTTTCAGCACTCAGCATCCATATGCATTTTCTTGAGAAAATGCATTTCTCTAGTTTCCTCTGTAAGTTACGTGTATGTATGTCAACACTGCAGGATCTGTCCACAGCCATGCGACTACAGGGGCTCACCTCAATGGAACAAATGATCAGTTGGACTATGTAACATACTCAGTCACAACTTTACCACCCTGGTAGTGTCACACAGCTGAGGTTACAAAGTGCCCTCACAATAGCTATATTGTAAAACTAGTGGTGAACAATGTGTTCTTTTCTTTTAATAAAATTCCTTTTGCAATTTTGGATGACTCCCTTTCAGAGCTCTTCCTTTGTTGTGCTGTAAGACTAGTAAGCTTTATGCCATGCCTACACCACACCCATCTCCATGATAAGACTAGACACATAGTTAAATTAGTTCACTATTTAATCAACTCAGGTTGTATTGTCAAAGTAGGGTGACATCTATTGAACAGAAAGATATTATAATTAACATACAAAGGTCACATGAAACTTACAGACTCACACCAAATTGTCACATGATCTGCCCGACTTATATGCATCTCTCATGCAGACGCACATATTCGCAAAGGTGACTTACTGTTACTATTGGCAACAGAGCATAGATAAAAAAAGATTGTCATACAACTGTCAGTAAGAAAGCATAAATAAAGGACTTAATGTTAAACACTTCTATTCATCCAAAATAAAAGCATATTTATGATAAAACACATTGTGGGAAATGTGACCATGCAGATGACACTGGGGTATAGAGTAAATCATGTACAACATATTGCAGGCATGCTATACAACTACTGAAAAGTGCATCTGATGATGTATTTATTTTCCTATAAAAAAATTCTAGCCTTGGTAAATTTCCTCACAATCACTCTGACAAAAATATTTTCATAAATACCACTTCTGGAGTCTTGGTATCTAATTTATATTAGTAGGTGCTTATTTAACCAGAGAGATATTGACTAATCATATGCACCATAATGTTTTTCACTGTAAACAACAGATTTTGTCAACTGAGAAACAGTCATATAGTTTCTCACCAGTCAATATCCTGTACACACTGTTAATGTAAAAAGAAAAGAAACCTGGCACTAAAACTGCTGGTTATGTTATAGCACAAAAAGAAATTACTTACAAAAGTGAAAAAGTTGTTGTTCTTAAGTTTGCTAAAGAGTGCTAAACCCAGCAAAAATCATCAGCTGCCAAGAGCTTTTCATTTGATGATTATACTGATATATTACAATTTGACAGCCATATTTATTGTATATTCGGAGTGAAAAATGCTACGAATAGCACCTTTAAACATAGGCTACAACAAATCCGGTTTGACTCTTGCTACTAAGGTATGCACAGTGCACTAGATATCCATCTACTTCTAAAGAACTAAGACCTAAAATTATTACAAATATCTCTCAGACAAAGATGATGAAATAAACATGTCTGGGGAATATCAGACTCATCTCTATGCATCCAGTACAGAAAGAGGTCCTGGGGAAGTTTAGCTGAGCTTAGCAAAAACTAGAAAAAGGAGCAAACTGGGAGCCTCTATCTAAAATACCAACGAAGCAACCAAAAACGTGCACATATACTGAGTCTGTCCAGCATGAATAAAAACTTGTGATAAAGCATTTGCAGCTTTTGGCAGCTACATCTTTGTGCTACACTAAGTACATCCTCAACTGACTGTTTCTAAATCATTTTTTTATTAATAATATAAATGTTTTGGAACATGCAAAAATGGGAGACTCCCACATACTGTGATAGTGCTATACTGTGTTTGTTATGGCCATGGAGGAGAACTTTAAGCTCCATTACAAAATTTTTCTTACCGAAATGCAGCGTGAAATTCTTAGCTGAACTCTTTCCTCGTGGTTTTATTTTATAAAACAACATTTTTTTTATAACACAGCTGTTCAACCTGTGTCATATACCTGGGAGAGTTGCATGTCTAACAGCATCTGCCAGTCACCTAAACATGTCTATGCAAAAAATGTAGACATGGATTTATTTTGGAACCCTGGGTACACTCCAAATAACTACTCCTACTTAGGTTATGGAATTGATAGCAGCAAGTGATTTTTCAAAATTTCAGACTGCTTTTCCAGTACAAAGCTACAAAGGCAGGTTTGTATGCAGATTGAAACCTGCCAAATTCCGGTGGAACGCTTGAGTTCAAGGATTGCATTGTACTAATATGGTATAAAGAAGCATACTATTCTAGTGTTTTGCTGTTTTTTTGTGCTGTAAATAAGACTGACAGGGGTGTCCAAATGTACTACAAGTTCACAATATAAAGTCAGGGTTTGCATTAAAAAAGGTTCAGCAAATGCATATTTCAGTGCAAGTCACAGAATATTTGACTTCATAGCTACAGAAGGAATGCTAAGCACACTTATGGCTCAAAAGAGTATTCAGTTGAGTATGCGGTATCTGTACAGAAGAGAGACAAAATATAAAACAAATCTGTCACATAGTTTCTCGCTCTTTGTAAAATAATTCTTTATCTCTTCAAATTATACAGTATCATTTATAGTAATAGTATTATCTGGCGTAGCACCCTTTCAATCAAATAGTGCAGGAAAGTAAACACAGATTTGCAGTTGACTTCACAGCTGTGATACAAATATATTGCAGTCATTCGCTACAGTTTGAACTGTGCTACTCAGTTTTTTTCTTTTTGTGATTTATATCCAAAACTTCTACAACTGTTTAAAAAAGGTCTTCTCCCCAAAGCATTGGCACAGCTTCACCATTACAATAGGTTTCTTTAAGAGTGACCACAAAAGTACACAGTGATTAGTTCTACAACACTTAAAAGGTTGTGCTTCAGTGTAAACGTACAAAAATCTCATGCTGAATTAAACCTTTTTCTTTTGAAATTATTATGATATATACACATTACAATGGCAGGTATTGTCACAGATATGGGGTTGTTAGAAAATCTGACTGTTTCGTTGTTAGCTACATCTTTTCAGGAGCCTTCGGTCATTTTGTATGCTAGTCCTTGAAAACAGACGTTATAGATGTTCCCTTGTAGAAAATATTTCGGGCATTGTCGGAGCTGTTGGCTCTTTCTGGAATCAGGATAATATTATTGCCTTTTTTCCGCAGAGCTGACTCGCAACTGGAAGTGACTGAGGGTGTTTCGGAAGCACTCTCTCCATCACCAACTCTGCTTCCTCCTCCACCACTACCTCCTCCAGATCCAGAAACGCTGCCATCTCCTGGAGTGACCCTAATGGTAGAGAGTCCCTGGGGGTGGAGCCTCTGCTCTGACTGGCTAGTGCTCTGGGAGTGAACTGTAATTATGGGTGTGGTGCTAATGGTGGCAGTGGTGGTTATGATGTGATTGGCACACTTCCTGTCAAGGGACCCTTCACGTATGGAGTCTGAGCTTTCTGAATCTCTGTTCAGATCATTGAGCTCAAAGGACTGCCTCATACTCCCACTTCCTCCTCCTGATCCTCCTTCTGCTCCACTAGTCCCTGCACCTCCACCAGCTCCAGTTCCATGATCCAGGGACCGCCACCTCCATGAGCCACTTCCATCTGTGGACGGAGCCTGGATAACAGGCCTGTTGTTTTCAGGGTGGGCCTCTACTCTGACAATTGCTCCAGTACTCCCGGAAATGTTGCCTATGGTGCTTCCTAGTGAGCTGGGCCCTGTGGTGCTGGTAGGTTCTTGATCCGCTAGTGCCCTGTAATTAACAGAACCCTGGCAACTCCCAGTGATGCTGCTCTCATCTAAGCTCTTGGAATGGGTCTGTAGTAGGCCCTGCTGCTTGAACATAGCAATCACATGCATGATTCGTGCCTGGGTGTTCTGTCCACTATCATTAGTCCTGCATGCTGTTGTCTTCTCAGCTGCATGTTGCCAGTTAGCCTGAACTGTGTTATTTACTGCTGACATCACCTCACTTCCTCCTCCTGCAGTCCTTGGGGACATGGCGTTGTAATTCTCATGGGCTTCTTCTGGTATGTGGACCAGCTGAGAAGACCCAGGTCTAGACTGCATGCATATCCTGGCCCCTCCAGTGATGCCACTACAATTACTGGGGAGGGTGGTACTAGCGCCTGCAGACATGTATGCATGACCATCAAAGCCTCCATTCAGATCCGCAGCTGATGGTTCAGAGCTGGACCGGAGCTCAATGCTTCCATGGTGGTGCAGATGCTGGGAGGACTGGCCAGATGACGAGTCTACAGAGGAGTAAAATATGTCTGGGACCTGCATGGAGCATTTGTGGTTATTGTGCTTATTTTTCCATTGAGACAGAAGCTGTTTTGAGCGGCTTGTGTCCATGGAGGCATGGTGGAGTGTAGCAGCATGATGTCTGGCTGCTTCCTCGTACGCTGCCATGGCCTGGGGGGTGTGGACCCGAGGAAGGGTATGGCTAAAGGTCAACATGCCATCTTTGCTCTCTGAGCTGTTGGGGGAGATCACATCCATTTCTGCACTCGGAAACTTTAGGCCATCATCAGGCCTCTGCTGCTGAAGGCCTCTGTGTAGGAGGCCCTCTGAGTGGGAGGTGGGTATGGTCGACTCCTGGGCCATGCTGGCTTTCATTTGCAGGTGGCGGAGGATTGCCTCCTGACTTATGTGAGGCAAAGAGCAGGGAGGTCGGGGTAGCAGTAGTGGGGGCTTGGTGTCTGTCACCTCACTAGGCTGGAAATTGCCAACTGCATACAACCCCTGGCAGAAGAGGAAACAGATTTATTTAGAGTAAAACATTAAAACTTTAGAGGAAAGCATTTTAAATTTAGTTAAATTTTTTTCCATGCCAACAGCATAGATTCACTTAGCACATCATCAGGAAGCTGGTCGCTCCGCCACTTTGGTCCATATTGGTGAAATATCTCAGCAATTATTTGATTGATTAATGTGGTCTGGTGTCATTAAGGACCTCTTGTGAAAGTTTTATTACAACCCAAAGACCACTTACATGTTATACAATGCAGTGGCTGCTTCTATCTTTTAGTACTAGGTGTCTAAACTGCAAGAACCTGGAGCAAAACTAAGGGCAGAGAGACACCAAGCCAACGTAAAAGAGCAGCGAAGAAGGCCTACTGTTGTATCATATCACATCGGCTTTGTCTGTCAGTCAGGTTGGAGAAGTGACACGAACACCCCGCTCAGACTGCATCTATGGCTGAGTAGCACATACGTTCTGCACCTGTGTGACAGAGGTTAAATTCCCCTACCAGCAGTTAGCGGTAGCTGTATTCGCCATTTAGAAAGAAAAAGAAGACGAGCTAGAATGTGGAAGTATTAGCTATAAATTAAGCACCTCTCATTCAACACAGCTGCTTTTTATAGCTACTGCTGATCCAGAATATGTCTGATAAGAAGTTGCAGATAGCACTGCTGTTGATCTTTTGGTTGTGGAAGGTGGAGGTTGTTAGGGCTGCCCACTAATAGTTGAATACTCGAGTCATTAGTTGTGAGACCTGTCAGTCGACTTAAGACTCTTCTAGTTGGGAATTTATTTTTATTTTAATATATTTTATTTTTTGTCAGCCAGTGTACAAGGATAGTAGCCCCAGCTGGTAGGTTGTTGTCTTCCTCTCCTCATTCTGGTGTGCCAAGCAACAATTTGCTTGACATTGGAGGTACAAGTCTGGTGCATATGAGACCGTCAGGGTGCACAATGGCCCAATGATAAAAAAGTAAAACACACTAATAGTGCCCATAAAACAACCAACATCATATCAGTGGCTTATGTTCACTTGTCTTTTCATTTGGTCAAACTAACTCCTTAACACAAGTTCACACACACCTCTCCAAATCTTTATACACAGCTGACAATGCAGGTCACCTTCAATAATTATTTAAATGTTTTGATGATTGTGTGTTTTATTAAATACTAACTAGTAAAACTCCAAAATCTGTTTTTGTGCATGCTCCTTTGCTCAGAGTTTAGACTTGTGTCTGCAACTGTGCCCTCTTTCAACAAAACAGAGCTGCAAAAAACAGTATCAAGACAGAAATAATCTCCAGACAAATGATGGGACTGGCACTTACCAGGTAGACCGCAATAGCTCCTCCAATCAGGAAGCCCAGGTAGACGTCAATGGCATGGTTCTTGTACTGAATAATCCTGGTCAGTCCACAAATGATGGCACAGATAATGAAGGAGAAGACCAGCAGGGGCTTGAGCAGCTTGGATGAGTCTGTGAGAGTGCTGTTGAAGTACATCTGTGCACAAATGACACATTTACTATTTTATTTTCCACTGTTCTTAAGATCTTTACAAGATTTTGGTTTTGCACAATTTTAGTATTTTTCATACAAATACTTGGATCCTGTGGACATAAGTGGATAGGCACTATAGTGTGAACAAGGTGTGTGCATGGGCTCATACTATTACTCACCGACACGTAGACAGCAGCAAAAGATGCAAGGGTAGCGTGCTGTGATGGGAAGGATTTTCTGCAAGAGATGAAAGAGTACTAAGAGCGAACCTTTGGCCCAGATTCTCCCTGAGCCACAGCCCAGCTGAGCTACACAGACCTACTTCTGACAACTCCTGATATTCACTCCCCCAGCCAGCCCTCATTTTTACTTGTGACTGCATGTGTGTGAATGTATGTGGTTTTGGTGCATTCATGCAGTTATGAGCATCTTTGCATGAACCGTGTACGTATGTGTGTCTGTGGGGTTACAGCAACTGTGGAGGCATACAATTTTCATTCACATGTGAAAACTGATAACACAGCTTCTGAATAAACTGACCCACTTTGGCACTGAAGTAAAGTAACAACCACAGATATAGTTGTGTACTGTATAACACACTGGACTACAGTTAAAAAAAAACTTTGCTTCCAAATTAAATGAGCCAATTTTTATGTATTTTGAGGTGCTGAATTCAAATATGACATTTTAAAGAACTGTTAGTTTTTAGGATATTTGGCCATTTACAGGATACAGTGCTGAAATGAATGAAGCATGTCCTTCCCAATGATTTTACTGCTGGCCTGGTGTTCACTGGAGGATGCATTTTATAGGAATAACTTTATATGTTCTCCATTTGCTCTTGGGAATGTTGCCTCAGTAAATCACTTGATTTTATGATAAATTGCAAGGTCCCTTTACTGTGCCTCAGTCAGACATTTTGAAGCCTTTTCATTGAGGAGGACATAATTGACAAACTCAAGACAGACTTCATTAAGTCCTCCCCAATTTATGAATGAAATCAAGTTTTTAACAATGCTGGGTCCCCATCTTTATGTATTTAAATAGCTTTCTGTCTTCTGCACCTGTTTTAAGCATAGAATAGTCCATGCATTTTTTTAAAAAAGGCCTTGTGTCATGATTCGGTTCCGCTGCTTCATGTCCGGCTTTTATTTTGCCGTTACTTCCTGTTTTTGTTTCACCTTAGTTTCGGTCTTTTTACATTCTTCATCACTCACATTGGTTTCACCTGTTTCGTTATTGTTTGCACCTGACTGTTACCTTGGTATATTCGTTTCTGCTTTGCCCTCTTGTCTCAGACTGCCACAGTGTATGATATCGGACTTCCCTCTGGATTACGTGTGTTTCTGATCCCGGACTGTTACCTTGTACTATTCTATTCTGCCTCGCCCTCTTGTTACGGACTGCCACGGTGTATGATTATCAGACTTTCCCTTTTGGACAACGAACTTTGGATTCCCCTGGATGTATGTGTTTGCTGGCTCTGACCCGGGACTGATACCAACCATGAGTTTTGTGTTTCACCTCGTCTTGTATGGTTTTGTTTAGTTTTAGTTCTCTTATTAAAGAGACGGTTTTGTTCAACACTTCCTCATCTGGCCTTTTAATTGAGTTCACTAAACACTTTTCGGCAGCATCGTGCGCCGTTTCTGACACCTTGATCTTCTTGATTTTATTCATTTGAGACCCATTTACAAAATACAATTTTTATTGAAGTTGTTTTACAGAAGGTTTGAGGTTTATTAACTGGGACACCAATAAACTGTAGGTAAAAGACTGAGCCTTGCTCAGTGCAACAAATAAATGTAAGTTCACTCAGATTATTAAGATCAGTCTCATACATGATTAAAGCTTATCAAGCGAAGAGCTTCCTTTTACAAGACTTTTTCACTTTTACAGGAAGTAAACAGAATCAGAATGTGTTTAAATGTTAAATTCAGTAAACCAAAACATTTTTCCTCCCTACCTGCCCTGGTTGATGGCTGTGGGGTCAGCCCCTGAGCAGATATCCTCCATAACATAAGGGTTCTGCTCACAGCTGACAATGAGCGTGGAGTAGTTGGGTTTACACACAGTGAGGAAGTAGGGTGTTGGGTAGCCCGTCATCAGTTGGAGAATGTCAGTGATTAAGGCCGTGGCACAAAGACCAAATGCATGGACGCCTAAGGAGAGAGTAGGTGGTGATGAAAAAGCAGGGATACAAGCTAAATGTGAGTACAGGATCAACATATGCAGGAAATGTCATACAGTTTGCATACAGCTTTCAAAACAACCAACCCTGATTGGTTAGAAGGAGAAGACTCATTCAGAAGAGAATATCCCAGCACTGCTGCCATACTGTTTGAATCTTGGTCATAGACAAGTTTGACAGCACATTTCCATATCACGTGTTTTGAAGCATATCTGAACTGAACAATAATAAAAAAGATTTACTTTGGCTGTAATTGATAAATGAGGCAAGAGAAAAAGCTGCCAAAAATAGCCAGTTACCATACTATCAGGCCAGTGTGCAGAGAAAAAAAAAAAAAAAGTGTACCAATGAAGCGAATAGCTCTGCGTATGAAGGAGTTGAAGTTGCATCCAGCGGCATTGATGTTAGCCTCGGCCCCAGCGCCACTCTTCCTTCGAGACAGACAGCAGAACCGGATGGCCTCTCCAATCATTATCTATTAACACAACAATACACGTTATATGCATTTACATGCAGTGGGTACAAAGGGTATAATCTTTGAGGATTAGAGAAGAAATGCTCATTCATTTTTTAAAATTCTGTTGTCCCTTAACTTTTTCAATTTAAGTTTCCATACTTGCTTATTTTGTGCAGTGTCAAACATGCATTTTCCCAGTTAGTGTCATTCAACAGGTGAACACACACTTGTGGCATTTATTGTTTGGATAAACAGCACTGTTCAAAATCTTGTTCAATGGACATTTGAACGTAGATTGCAGTGACATTACATATATATGCACGCATCACACTCATTACTCCACAGACTTGATCCTGTCTACCATTCCTCCTTATGGTTAAATGCTGGAATAAGAACTTCAACTGAAAACATTACCCCAATGTAAGATACAGCATTCATATATTCAAGAAATACTTCAGGAGGAATATAAATGCAACAGTTTTAAATGATTAGCTCTTATTCTTATATGCCACAGATCATAATTTATTCATTGTGTGACTGACATGAATGATCCATGTTATTGTGCAATTCTCCTTTATGTTGCCATTTTGGCCATGTCGCTCTCTCACAAAAGAGATATAGTATCTCAAGACACTTTCTGGTTAAATAAAAATAATGAATAGAGGGGCTGTGTGAGATGTGTGTGACAATAATTAAGGTTGAGCTTTGCCTGGGTCTGCACTCTTAATTGATTAGTGAAATGGATCTTTCAGTCCATTAACCATTAGTGTAGTATTTTAGTGGTAAAAGATGTGATCTCCATTTCATAACCATATACTGTATTTCTCTGATATTTTCTCTCTCCTCAATGATTCTGGAACCCAAATTGAGGATGTATAGTGATGTTGCCTCCCCAGTTGAAAGTCTGCACTAAAATTGATCTCTGCTCAATTTTTACCTTATCCTGATCTGACTGTATAACTAACAAGTCTGCTAAAATACATGACAAAATATATTTACCTTCTTATACAACAGGTTTCCTGATTTAACAAAAGGATGACACAATTTGTCTGTGCCTTCCTAGCTGTTAAAATTCACAGTTGCAAAAAATAAATCTGGTTTTTGACCTTTCACCATTCTGATTAAGGTTTGGTTGCTCTTATGGATAAAACAAATTGGTTGGGTTAAGTGAATAACATTGTTTGGCTTAAAGTGACTACATTGTTAAGGCAAGGGGACCTTTGTTGTCAAGGTTACTATAATACACATTTAGTTTTAGCCATAACTTCCCTAACCTTAACAGCTTCTTAGTTTAGCTAGACAAGAAGTTTGCCATGTTTATTCATCTCGATTTAAACAACTGTTTTAGTTTGTGCGTCTGCAATATGGCTGGCAGAGACTATTTCTTTGTTTGAAATCCTTTTAAAATAAGTTTAGGGTCAGTTTCCTGTCTTGCTATTAATCCTTACTGTGATGGCAGGTCCAGCAAAGGCCAGGCTGAGCAGCATCAATAAGGGAATGACCTCGTGGCTGGGGTCGATGTAGGGCAGGCTTAGGCTGCGGTCATGACAGTTGAAGCCAGACTTCACTGGCTTGAACACATCTGTCCACTCCAGGAAGTACACACTGACCACAGACGATACCAGGATCGGCAACTATCAATGGACACAGCAAGAGAGACAAAGGTATGATGAAGTTCAAAGTCATAAACAGCTGAGGCTGGAGGAACTTGAATAAATAGGCTACATGCTGTGCAAAAAAAGCATGCAGTAGAAGTGACTGTGACATTGTTAAATTTAAATTTGCACGTTAAACATGTCACACTTACAGTCGGCATATAAAATTATGTGAAAAGATTTATTTTGGTCCTCACTCAAAATCTAATAGTCTCTTTATCAGGCCATACCTCTGACCTTTCAACCTCAATGGCTCATGCTGTCAATTACTTTAATGAGGTGAGCTAGCAGCTACAGTTGCTCTAGCAGCTGCCCAGCTCATCCTTGTTGTTTCTGCAGTCACTTGACTCGTTTCCACTGTCAGAACCTAATGAGCGGTACACCCCGTGCTTCCCATAACAGTCAGGTAACACAGAAGACTCAGGTAAATAACACAAACTACATCAGACAGGTCAGTACAGGGAGCAAGTTTAATAGTGGTCAAACGCTTCCAGACAGTCAGGCTAAAGCCTACATTTCAGACAAGGGGCAGACTAACCTGATCCTGGAAGCATGTCCATACACAGGTAAGCTAACAGTTCAAACTAGAGACAGACAACTGTGACAAACACTGGTGGGTCCAACAGTTCAAACATGGGTATGCAATGTGCAAAACGTAGAAGCAGGTCAACAACAAAACAGGAAACAAATGATTTTGAAACCTTTCCTTGTGGATTATCTGGCAGGGAATGAGTGCTGGCTGAAATATTGACTGCACACATACAGTAGGAAGCAGCTAGTGTGGATGGAGAAGACAAAGGCTGGGTCTAGATTGACAGGAAAGACAGGACCAGGGCTGGGAGTGTGACAAGTGCAGTAAATAGGAGCTCTAGACATGAGTGTTTTTTGGTCACTGGATTATTCTGTAATGTAATCCTGTAGGTCCTTTGGAGTACTTAAGTTAGCACATAATATTTCTGTGGAAACCAGAGCATTAAATAACATTATCTTGATAAGTAAACTGAGACTGTCTGCCTACCACCTACAGTAAAAATTGACTGGTGTTTGTACTGGATTCACTGGGAGCTGTGGTCCTGAGTCCACTCTGCTCTTCCTCTCTGTTGTCTGCATAGTTACCACTGCCAGATGCACTGAGCTATTAGGATTTTTCTGATTTTAACTTCCTTTTCTCAGAGCTTTTCAGCCACACATTTTCAAAGATCATTTCTTTTAGGTGAGTCAGCAACAGCTCACTACTGCTGCAGCCTCAGTGTTTGATGATCAAGATACAACACATACTGTAAAAGGTAAGTGTCAGTTCAGTGTGAGAACTACACACCACTAATAGAGATGAACGCAATTAAAGAGGCCAGTATCACAGGTTGAAGGTAAGAGTCTTTGACAATAACAATGAGCTGGAAAGGGATGAGTGCTGGTAGTGGTGTAGCTCGACAAGGCACGGTGACACTACATAGATAAAGTCACTGAGGAAAGAAAAGACTTCATCCTCCACAGGCAGAAATCCTGGTTTAGTAGCAGTATAGCAATCCAGAGAGGCAGATACTAAGATTCACTGTATTACAGGGGCAAGGCAGCAGAGTAGTCAAGAGTCCAATCCAAAAGTCTGATATTACTCTGTCTTACAGAGACAGGGCAGGGGCGTACTCAAGATACCAATCCAAAGGTCTGATGGAGTTCACAGTCTTTCAGAGGCAAGGCTGAGACATAGTCAAAATTCAAATCCAAAGGGCTGGTGTTACTCACAGTCTTACAGGGGCAAGGCAGAAGGGTGGTCAAGGTTCATCAGGGTTTCATCCTAGGAGGATAATGACTCAAAAAATATCTACGGGCAGTGTAGAAGAAAAGAACAAGGCGGTCGGATTCAAATGATGGAATGGCAGCACAGTGTCCGGACTTTCCAGGCAAAGCAGTACAGTGCAACACACCTGTGGGAACTTCTGCAACAGTGCTGTCTATCCCAACAAAATTTGATTTCAGTTGTAAAAAGAATATCACAAGTGTGTTCAGCTGCTGAATTACACTAATGGCTAGATAGCACTCCTCCTTCTAGGCAGCTCACTGTCCCCATAATGCCAATACACCTAAAAGCAATATTCCCATGATTGCCATAAAATGATTCCTTGGCCATGAAATCCTGCCATTAGCATTTGGAATCGTATTGATGTCATTGTTAGTTTGTAATATTGGAAGATGTGGATTGTTCTGTTGGTGATTCCCTACTTCTTCAAAAAATCTCATAAAAATCCATTCATAACTTTTGGAGTTATGCTGTAAACAAACAAACAATAAATGCCAGTAAAAACATAACCTCCTTAGCATCAGTAATTATTTGTTTGGTGCGGGACCATATGATAAGGAAAATGGTAAGACAATTCACAACCATCCACAAACAGTGTAGTGGGGTTAGCAACACCTGGTGGCAGAAAGAATTGCAGGTTAGATTGTATGAACCTGGTGCAGGATTAATGATGATCCAGATCACCACCAAAATCGAATGGATTGATCTATGGACCATATCGTACGTCTCCAAACATTTCATTAAAATCCATTCATTAATTTTTGGGTTGTGCAGAGACAAGCCAACCAGGGTGGACAGGATTAGGAATGAGCACATCAGAGGGACAGCTCAGTTCGGCTGTTTTTGGGACAAGGTCAGAGAGGCCAGATTGAGGTGGTTTGGACATGTGCAGAGGAGGGATAGTGGTTATATTGGTAGAAGGATGTTGGAGATGGAGCTGCCAGGCAAGAGGTCAAGAGGAAGGCCAAAGAGGAGATGATGTTAACTGGGGTGAGAGTAGAGGATGCTGAGGATAGACTTAGGTGGAAACAGATGATTTGCTGTGGCGACCCCTAACGGGAAGCAGGGACAAGCCAACCAACTAACACCAGCAAAAACAACTGTAACAACTAGAAAAATAGAGGTGACTCCAAACGTTTGACTGGTAGTGCAGGAGGAAAACTAGACTCCAAAATGATGGTTGTTAATTTAAATATTTCTTATTACAAATAAGTAAATAAATAAAACAACACTTGGACCTGCATGCTAACCGGGATTGTTACTTTTCAGTACACACATTAGTATACCGTGTTAGCACAGCCTATCTACTTTTAATGTTTTATACCAAGATGCTATACTGCCTCCACCAGGTAACAGCTATTATTAAATTTGTATCAGTGAAAGCTACTTACACAGTGCATACACAAAATGGGCTTTCTCACTTCCTTATTCCATTCTGTGTTGCACAGCCTTCTGCATATCTACCTCTCTAATTTTGTTACTCTGTTCTGCCTCAGTCAGCAATTTCTGCCACTTGTCCAAAATACTGCCACTAGAATACTAAGCAGAACCTGAGCAAATAATCACATCGCTCCTGACATTTCTCCACCGGCTCACCATACATGCCAGAGCTATTTTCAAGATATTCACCCAGACCTTTGAAATGCTACATAAACTTGCACCTCTCTACCTTATCATCTTTTGATTCTGGGCACTTCGACACCTCCAGAAATGACACAATCTGCCACTTTCACAGAATGTTTACATCATGGTCCACACAGTAAGGACAGCTCATTCTTTGAAAAGACAGACTCAAGATTCACACGCTCTCCATGTCGTCCAATGTATAACTTACCAGACATTGTGTTAAGTTTACTGTGCCCTTTATAGATTTTTAACACTATTTGATTTATTTACTTGTCTCAGTCACTGTTTCCATCAGCTCAGCCAATAAACATTAGGATGATGTCAAACTCATAACTGATTTTTAGATTCTAAGAAAGTTTAAGAAATATGTAAAGCTTAATAGTTTTGACATGGCATGACTGAGACAAGTAATAGAGACTGGTAAATCAAGAAAATGCTGGTAACAACACTGCATACCCAAGGGGAAATGTCAGCACCTAAAATTGCTTTGAGATATTTCTCATTGATACTTAATGAGGAGGAGATGAATTATGAACAGCTCTATTTCACACTCCAACACTCTGCAGTTCTGTTGTGGCAGAATTCTTTCCCAAATGATTTCTAACAACCCCCCAGGCTCAGTTGTGTACCATTAAAGAGTTCCACAGAGAAGTGAGGTGCATGTGTAGGCAGAAAGCTGATGCGTAATTGAAGGCCGTAAAGTGTCCATAGAGAACAGCAGCGAGTTGCATCAGTGGGAGCTGAATATGGCCTGGAGCATCATGAAATTTATCAGTCAGCTTAATACCCTGATTCACTGCTACACAGACGAAGACATGCTGCTAATTCAGCTAATACAAAGTAACACAACTCTCTTCAAATCAGCACCGCGCTGACATACAAACTCCTTTACATGGCTGGACTATACTACACTAGGCTATTGGCCGTATCATTCCCTACAATGATGCATGTTTGTCTTTTGATTTGTCCCAATTTTAGAAAACTGTTGTTCAGCCCATTTGTTTCAGTTTTCAGGAAAAGCAGCCTGAGGTTTCACAGTGGAGTTTCACTGCACTATAAAGTCCACAGTAACACCAAGCAGCAGGCCAGTTTCCTCAACAGGAAAAAACACAGATCATATCTACAGTTGCTCCTGGAGGATAAAGATCTGGAATAAGACTCTAACGCCATCAGAATTAACACCTCATATGACAGGTGAAGAGCCATAAAGTCTTGATTGTAAATCAGATTGACATACTGAGATTTAACTGACCAGGCCACCACCTCAGCTCTCTGGGAACAAGCCAGTGACATGCACACCCAGGGAATGAGCCTGAGTGGGTTTAATTTGTTAGTTCACTTAATAGAATTAACTCAGAACATTGACCTAGTTTAAATGCCTCCCACTATTTGTAAAAATAGGAAGAAAAAAATCTTTCAGTGAACAGCAGTTTTAGAACTGTGAAAAATTCCACTCTGACTTTTCTTCATCGGGGATATAAATTGTAGTGACTGTGCACGAAGATGTAAATGAAAGATTAGAAAAACAAAATTAAATTGAGGAAATCCCCTGTCCAAGTCACAGTAGAACAGCATGGAGGAATCCATGGGAATGATGCAACAGTCTATGATGTCAGTTTTATTGGACAGCCACGGGCCAGTGGTGAATCAGAGCATATATAAAGTGCACAGCAGGGGAAGGAGTGACAGTCACCATAAGCTACATGCAGTCTGTACATAAATGAAATCATAAGGCAAACTGAACTGTCTTCTGAGTAACTCACAACATGATATTCTTAAAAAGTAAATGTAAAAACTATTAAGAGGAGGCAGGATCACTTAGTCTGTGTGTAAAATCATTTGATGATACTGCAAATTATCAAAACTTATTTACAGTATATGTCTGAAATTGCACAGACTAAGACTAATCAAGAAATATTCTATTTTTTTTAAAAGTGTGCCATATATAAAGAAGGAAATATAATATGAAAAAAAATTAGAATGAGGTTTTTTCATTGTTCTGTCTTGTTTATTTGTACAATCTATGTTTATGTGATTTGTTTTTTTTTTCGTCTTTCATTATGGCTTTCTGCAGGATCTATTAGAATAATAATTATTAAGTATTATCATGTGTTGTTGGTTGTGTGTGTCACACCTTCACTGTGTTCATAATGAAAACACTAATTTCTAATATCTATAGAGTAATGTCTCTCTGCAGCAGATGGCTGCCTCGGTTCTGTACTGGAAACAAATTCCTTGTGTGTGACATACTTGGCCAAATAAAGGTGAATATCCTTATATATTGGGGGAATTATGTGATTCTACCGTATTAAGCTCACTACAGATTTCATTATCCATGACTTGCCAAGGAACTGCAGATGTAAATTAGCTTTAAGCTAACTCTGCTATATCATTGTATTATATTATATACAACTGGTTTATGTACCGTGCATGCTAAATAAAATAATTGAATTAAAAAATAACAGAATATGGATATGGCATTTTAATGCTTCCTTTATTCTTTTTAACCTTGATTTTAAAATAGCATCTGTAAGGTTAAGCTGATCTCCACGGGAAGCCCATGGACTCATGGATCTTTGGTGATAGTTACAGTATAATCCACATGATCACATCAAACTATATCCTCACTAGGCTCATACTGTAGGTTGATGGGGATACAGAGTGGGTTTGGCTAAGCAGCATGCAGTATAAACCAACCTCTACAAAATAGAAACAAGGCAGCAGGCTGATGCTGTCTTTGGTCAGAATCCCCTTCTCTCTCGCAGACATGGTCAGGCCTCCAAATATCCAAAGAGAATCAAGATGTGAGGAGGGGAGACTGGCTGAGCTCTTGCCTCGGGATCAGGAGCGCTCCATGCCGCAGGATGCTCAAGACCACAGCCGCTGTTTAATCCAGCCAGCGCTCACGACACCCAGACTTGCTCGTCCCCTAATCGCTGCTGGTGAGAAGTCCAAGAATCAGTTCTGTGACTGTCCTCCGGCGAGCTGTCAGGCTGAGAACGGAGCCAGACGACGGAGAGGGAGCGCATGCGCAATGGGGAGGAGGGTAGATGACAGCATATGGTTTTGTCTGCTGGCAATGGATGAATGTCTGTTTTATTTTATTTTATTTTATTTTTTTCAAGTAGCCTATCTGCCCTCAGCGCATTTGGCAGGTGTGCACTTGCTATAGGCTATGTAGAGAGAAACACCTGAAAAGGAGCGAGGGGCTTTATGGGGCGGTTGATATGCTGATCTACCTCAGCTCATAAACAATGCACGATCATGCACGAGAGAAGCGGTGCTGGCCGTCCGTGCTGAGGACGAGATAGGTCTATCACAAGATATCAAAATACCAGAGAAATGATCCCGCAGACAAAATATGCGTGAACCTGGAAAATTTGCCTGTTTCTCATATAAGCAATGCTCACTTAAGCAGTCTTGACCATGATCTATGCATGTAGTATGAAAACAATCATTTCATCATTAGATTATTGCCGTCAGATTTCTCATTGCAACCCTGTCTTTGACTCGATTTAAGGCTAGATATGTAAGGTTACATACTGTACAAGACTAATGGGGGCTAAATTTAGGACAAGAGTAAAAACTAAAAGGAACTAGATGATTGAGTGGATTAATTAATTCTTGTCCTTTGTGGTCTTTTATTTTGGCCCCTCTCTGGTCTTTAATCATTCTTTAAACCAGTACCTCTAGTCATAAATCTAGTGCTTTCTAGTCCTAAAATTAGTTTAATTTAGTCTGAAATCTTGCTGTGAGGAGTCCTTTAAACTGAACTGCTGTGGGTCTACACCAGTAGGGAGTGCTATGATCTGCAGTATGTTGAACTGGAACCAACTGAGTACATGTATCAACAGGAGTCTGTCACTTGGGGCTCAGAATGGCTGCATGGAACAAAAGAACAACAGTTCAACTGAGTCCAGACTCAGGTCCACTTGGTGGAGGTGAAGTGTCAGTGTGTGTACTTCCAACTGTTGAGAGAAGAAGAGACAGCAGAGGTCAGAAACCAGACTTGTTTCATCAAAAATTGTCTTTGCATTTCAAACACACGATCACAACAAGCTTGGCTGATGTGACTGACTGACTGTTGTCACTCTTTCGGGGTTCCTGTCCAGTCTCAAAGCTTTTCACTGTTCTCCTCTCACAGCTTCACTGAAAAGGCTAAAGGTTTACAGGAAATCCTGGATCTTTGCATTGATCCTACTTGTGTTTAGTCCAGAAAGCAGCATGGACTTATGTTACATGTGTAGCTCAACATTGCTCTGCCTAAACCACTGAAGAAGAAAAACTTGCCATTGTTCCTGTTTGCGGTTTAGTGTCACCAAAACTTTCACATCCTACTCAGCTCTGCACAGAAATGAAACATGGTATCTAACCTCAGAGTCTCCAGTCTATAGTGTTTATGCTTCACATAATCAGACAGCTCCTTAACATCTGGATTCTGCAGGCTGTTTTCTCTCAGGTCCAGTTCTCTCAGGTGGGAGGGGTTGGACTTCATAGCTGATGCCAGGGAAGTACAGCTGATCCTTGACAAACCGCAGGAGCTCAGTCTAGATAAAGAATAAATAATGTAACATTAGAAGGTAAAGTTTCTGCATGAAACTATTTGATGTTTTATGATCTGTTCAGAGCTGAAGAAGGCTTAAAAAGTAAAAATTTAGAAACTGGAAACCCCAAACTCAACAGGACGCAGGCTAAAAACAGTCAAATACAGAAAGTGACAAACAGCTCCAGCTAATTTCAGTCTGTATAAAAATAACATGTGCTGAAACAAGCAAATACTACATTACTACATTTTTATTTCTTTATTCTAATTCTTTTGAATCTGAAGAAATACAAGGGCAAACTTAAGGTGAAAATAAAATACCAGGTAAAGTGTAAATTAGCAAGTGCTGGATTTTTAATGTTACATTAAATATGTTTGAAATATGAAGCTCAACAGTGTGGATCAGCATCTGTAGTTTAAACTCATATTACATTAATCCCAAGGTCTAACCATTTAGAAAATGTTTTTAACAGTGTAACTGTGGTTTAATATCAAATAAAACAATAGTTTTACATTTACAATATCATTAGTTTCTTGCCCGGTGTCATCTGGGATTTCTTTTTTTTTTCATTTTTTTTTTTTCTTATTGTGATGTTTAGATCTGTAATTTTTTCCCCAGGTCTCTGTTGTAAAAAAAAACCTGATCTATTAAACCTCCTAAAAGATAAAAATGAACCAACTTACTAACTTAAACTGGTAACAGTGTAAGTATAAACTGTCAATGCGACATTCAAAAGTAATTTTAAAGTTTTTAAAAAACAGTTTTATAATCAGTCAACACTTTCAAAACTGACTTCTTAGCCTTGTGTCTGAATTTTAGTATCACCATAACAGTCCCATCAAATTGATCTCAGCACAAAACCAAACAATAGTGCCTGACCTTAAAGTCTCCAGTCTACAGTGTGGACTTTCAAGTCCAGCAGAGAGGAGCTTCACTCCCGAATCTCGGATATCATTTCTGCTCAGGTCCAGTTCTCTCAGATGGGAGGGGTTGGATTTCAGCACTGAGGCCAGAGAAGCACAGCCGATCTCTGACAAATAACAGCCCCACAATCTGAATAAAAAATAAAATGTAGATAAAACCACGTATAATCAATGATAATCAGTGATCTTTCCTCTAAAATCAGTAGTGACTTCATCATTCTGTTATTGTGGGTCATCATAATGTCAGAATGAGAAGAAACACATCAAATCAGATATAAGAGAAAACTGTGATACTTTTATTCATCACTGAAATGGATCAAACCTTAATGAACCAGAACTGATCTACTGACAATGTCTTTGTTGAACCTGGTCAATCATATAGCTCAACTCAAGAAATCCGAAGCTGAACACATCGTAAACTAAACCAAAAAGCTTCCACTCCCACTCCTGGTCAATGAAAAGTTAGTTCAGAGACCAGAGGTTTCCAAAAATCAGCTGATACAGGCAGCTGAAATATGATTGACTTGATTTAGACTTAGATGCTTTCATCAAGCATTAGTGGTGGCACAGCAGCGCAATGTCACGTCACAGCAAGAAGGTTCTGGGTTCGACCCCGGCTGACCAGATGCCTTTCTGTGCAGAGTCTGCATGTTCTTCCTGTGCCTGCTGAGGTTCTCTCTGGGTTCTCCGGCTTCATCCCACAGTCCAATGACATACAGCTTAGGTTAACTGGTGATTCTAAATTACTCTTAGAAGTGAGTTAGTGTGGGTGTGTGTTGTTTTTTGTCTACATGTCAGCTCTGTAACAGACTGGCGACCCATCCAGGGTGTACCCCTTACCCAATGTCAGCTGGGATTGGTTCCAGCCCCGCATGACCCTATTCAGGAATAAGTGGTATAGCTAATGGATGGATGGACCAAGTATAATATTTTGTATACTGTCGTTATAAAATGAACTAAATTGTAAAAACACTGGATATTACTATTTATTTCCACAGTTTGCTTAGAAAACTGCTGACTATGACAAACACAAGTGTGTGTTAAGAGAATACACATTATTCAAAACAACTTCCTCAAATTACCTGAAACTGAAGGAAAAATACTTAATCTGCTGGTAAAATAAGAAAAATGAAAATACATAACAATGGAAATGTATAATTTGTTAATTCATTCACAATGTGTGGATTCAGGTTATGTATGATAATAATCTGGGTTTAATTGTGTGTTATAGATATAAGATCTACAATGAGGCTGGTGAACTGACCTTAAAGTCTCCAGTCTACAGTGTGGACTTTCAAGTCCAGCAGAGAGGAGCTTCACTCCCGAATCTCGGATATCATTTCTGCTCAGGTCCAGTTCTCTCAGATGGGAGGGGTTGGATTTCAGCACTGAGGCCAGAGAAGCACAGCCGATCTCTGACAAATAACAGCCCCACAATCTGAATAAAAAATAAAATGTAGATAAAACCACGTATAATCAATGATAATCAGTGATCTTTCCTCTAAAATCAGTAGTGACTTTATCATTCTGTTATTGTGGGTCATCATAATGTCAGAATGAGAAGAAACACATCAAATCAGATATAAGAAACAAAAAGCTAAAAACTGTGATACTTTTATTCATCACTGAAATGGATCAAACTTTAAATAACCAGGACTGATCCAGAAGAAAAAACAGACATTCCCATTAAGATCCTCAGTGTGGATCAGTTCAGTATCAGCCTAATGTTTGCAGTTTATTGTAACCACAGGTTTTAAATCATATTCATCTTAGTTCACAGGTAAAGCATGGTGTCTGACCCCAGAGTCTCCAGTTTACAGTGTGGATCTAGCAGCATAGCAGAGAGCAGCTTCACTTCCGAATTCGTCACGCTGTTCCCACTCAGTTCCAGTTCTCGCAGATGGGAGGAGTTGGACCTCAGAGCTAAGGTCAGGGAAGCACAACTGGTCTCTGACAACATACAGTTCTTCAGTCTGAATAAAGAATAAAGCATGGAGATATAATCATTGATAATCCAATCAGATATGACCAAATCAATGCGCTTTCCTCATAAATGAGCAGTGACTTAATCATTCTGTTACTATGGATCATCATAATATCAGCCTTCTACAGACATCATCCCAGTGTCACCACAACATTCATACACCTATTTCACAGCTTCTGCACCCCCAGGTAGATCTCTTAGGTCATCCAATCAGTTTCCACTGGATGTACCAAGATCCAGATTAAAACACTAGGGTGACAGAGTGAGCTTTTGCACTAGCTGGTCCCAGACACTGGAACAGTCTACCACTTGAAATTAGAGGTGCCTCTAACCTGGCATCATTTTGTGTCCCCCTCAAAACATCTTTCACACAGGTATTTGATACTGGTGCAGTCTGAGGCTATCTGGTTAGTTTTGGACATTATGTTTTTTGTTTTTCTCTATATTTAAATTCTTTTTTAAAAGTTGTATATGTTTATTTATATGTCTGTTTCAGTTCTTTGAACTCTTTTTTTACCCTCTGTGCAGCACTTTGTAATTATTGTTCAGAAAGGTGCTATATAAAGCAACAGTGCAGTTTTGCATGTGAACGGTAGGAACATGTTCCTACCAATATTATGTTATAGTGGCTGACTTTGGAACGTTGCAAAGATATTCACAGATTCGAAGTTTCTGGATCAGTAACTCATATCCAAAACATCGCTAAAATACGAACAACTCCTCTTTTGTTTCATAGTAATGTAGACAACAAGGTACAAGCTCATTTTTATCGAAATAAAATGTCCTCTGCACCAGACAAATAACATGGTCTCAATGTACATCCGGCTGTGAGACGAGTGCACAGAGGTTGTCTAAAAAGTGCAACACTGAAAAGAAATCGGCCTACTACAAAAATATTGAATAACTTTACACTTATGGCTGTCTGCCGGTTACACTACAACCCTTAGTTAGGAAAAATGTGTTGGGAAAACCATTCAGTAACTTCACTCATATACTGTAGCATCAGAAGAATCACTTCACACATTAATGGCCATCTGCTGAAATTGTTTCTGTTAATATGAAGAAAGAAATAAGTTACTGCCCAACTTAATTCCATAACTATACAAACAAAAACTCAAGTTAGAACTGAACTTTGACTCAGATCTAAGTTTCAGCAACCGCATTTATCAGTTGAAAAGTGTGCATCAGTTTATTATGTTATTAAGAGGGTTTGTATTGTAATAATTAGAGATCTTTTATTTACTTATTTTTGCCCAACCCTATGAAGAACATGAACGCCTCTGTTATGGATAAGTGCACAAACACATGAACTGACCTCAGAGTCTCCAGTTTACAATTTGGACTCTTCAGTCCAGCTGACAGCAGCTTCACTACTGAATCCTGAAAGTCGGTGGTCCAAGTCATTTCCAGCTCTCTCAGATGGGAGGGGTTGGACTTCAGAGCTGAGGCCACGATTTCACAGTGAGATTCTAAGATCTGACAGACTACAATTCTGTAATGACACAAAATATCAAATAAAAATATAAAATCTGACATTTGTCCTAAGTCTTAAATTCATATTTATCACAAAGCTGACTGACATACACAGATGTAGCTCACTTGGTCAGTTGGTAATCAGGTAATCACAATGTTTGTGGTTTAAATCTTAAGCACCCCCTGGCCACATATCAAAGTGTCCTTGAGCAAAATGACAAAACCCAAATGCTTTGGACAAAAGTGTCTTCCAAATTAAATGCCATATTTTGATTTACAGCATCCTGTGTTTGGTAAACTGTAAAATCACTTTAAGTTGTAACTGCACCTAGGTATGCATTTACCTTAGTTATAAGTGGTGTGTCAGTCTAAGTTGTCTTATTATGCAGCTGCATTTCATTTTCATCTTTGATTAAATGTACGTAATGATGTCTAATACCATAATAGCATAATTAACAAATTAGAAGACTGCATTATTATTGTATGTTTAACAGTTGTTCTCATGTGGAGTTCAAATTGCTCAAGTAAATGTTTTGGAAACATGATCATAACACCTTTTTTGTGTGATCATAAAACTCCCACCACTGAATTGAATCCACTGAGTTCTCCTTCACTGTCACTATGAAACAGGGTCATAGATGCCCAAGGCTCAATAATGCATGGGGAGGCAAAGGTAAACCTGTGTTGTCTGATCCCACAGAAGAGCTACTATGGCACAGATTGCTGGAGAACCTAATGCTGGTTCTGGTAGAAAGGTGACAGAATGTCCAGTGCATGGCAGCTTACTGTGTATGGGACTGCGTAGCCTCAGACCGGTCAGAGTGCCCATGCTAACCACTGTCCACCACGGAAAGTGTCTACAATGGGCACGTGAGCATCATCACTGGACCACAGAGCAGTGGAAGAAGGTGAATCACATTTTCTTTTACATCATCTGGACGCCCGAGTGTGTGTGACACTTGGAAGAGATGGGACCAGGATGTACTATGGAAAGAAGGCAAGCTGTTTATGGGCAATGTTCTGCTGGGAAACCCTCCGTCCTTTCATGTGGATGTTACTTTCACATGTACCACTTACCTAAACACTACTGCAGACCAAGTCCACCCCTTCATGGAAGTGATATTCCCTGATGGCAGTGGCCTCTTTCAGCAGAATAATGTGTCACACTGCAAAAATGGCACAGGAATATTTCAGGAACATGGCAACCAGTTCAAGGTGTTGACATGGCCTCCAAATTCCCTCCACAGATCTCAATCCAATCAAATATCTGTGGGATCCATGGGGGGCCCCACCTCGCACCTTACAGGACTTAAGGGATTTGTTGCTGACATCTTGGTTACAGATCAGAGCTGTATTGGCAGCAAAAAGGGGGACCTGCACAATATTAGGCAGGTTATGGCTGATCGGTGTTCTCATCTCATCTCCCCCAGGTGCAGACTGTACAAAGAGGCTTCAGAGACAGTCCAACACATAGTGGCAGGTGCAAAATGCAGGCAGGAACAGCATACACCAAAAGGCACAACCAAGTGACTGGCAATGTGTAGAAAAAAATATGTCCAAAGAATGGGTTAGATATTGCCAAGTCCCTATTGTTGTGGGCAATAACAGGGCTAAGATCCTGTGGGACTTCCAGATGCAAACAGACAAGAAGGTACTGGCCAACCAACCAGAGATCATGGTAGTAGACAAGGTCCGCCCAAAAGTGGGGGCGAGTGGGGAACCTTCAGAAGAAGGTAGAGGTGATAGACATAGCAGTTCCAAGTGACAGCAACATCAAGAAGAAAGAGTATAAGAAGCTGAAGAAGTACCAGGACCTGAAAGATGAACTGGAGAGGATGTGGAAGGTGAAGGTCAAAGTGGTCCCAGTGGTGGTAGGAGCACTCTGAGCTGTGTCTCTTAAACTGGAAGAGTGACTCCAACAGATCCCAAGACATCAGAGCTCTGTCCAGAAGAGTGCAGTCCTAGGAACAGCTAAGATACTGTGCAGGACCCTCAAGCTCCCAGGCCTCTGCTATAGGACCTGAGCTTGAAGGAAGGAATACAAGACCACCCCAAAGTGGGGTGAGTGGGGAGTGTCTTTGTGTGCATTTGTGTCCCATCAACTACACCACCAAAACCAGCCCGCTATGTCCATGAATGCCCTTTTGTGAGCCTGCAAGGTGTGAACGTCCAATCGAAATGATACTGTGACAACCTAATGAATTGTGTGATCACTTTGCTGATGGAAGGTTGCAACAGACATGTCATCACTGCACTTCTCTTACAAATCCTCTTCCCTACTCTCACAGCTTTTCACCTTAGGAGCTCTCTTATGGGCTAAGATGCTTTCTGAGTAACTTTCATGTTTACCAGGATCTAGTGTTAACTTCTAGGGGCTAATTCTTATAAAACACAACTAAAATTTTTTTTTTTACACTTCTAGGGACTAATTCTTATAAAACACAACTTAAATTTTTTTTACACTTCTAGGGACTAATTCTTATAAAACACAACTTAATTTTTTTACACTTCTAGGGGCTAATTCTTATAAAACACAACTTAAATTTTTTTTTTTTTTTACAATTTCATCACTAGGAGGAAATCTTTACAACTAGGAAGATTTATGAATAGGCCCCTGGAGCTCATCCAAAGAGCTGACTTCTTGAAAACTGCAGCACTAATATAGTCCTGGATGTTTCTTAACATATTTCAGCACTACCATTTCTTAATGAGCCACTTTGCTTTCCTACTGAATTTTTTCAGGTGTGGGTCTCAATTCAAACTAGGGCAGCAGGGAGTCAATCCCCTGGACTTACCGAGCCTTTCTGCAGTTCCTCACAGCTGGGATCAGTCTCCTCCGTCCCTCCAATGTTGTGCTATAATTGTGCAGGTCCAACTTATCCAGGACCTCCTCTGACATCTGCAGCATGTAGGCCAAAGCTGAGCACTGGATGTCAGAGAGTCTCTTCTCTAATCTGTCCTCAGACTTCAAGAAGTCTTGGATATATCGATGTACTGAGTGGTCATTCATCTCCATCAGACAGTGGAAGATGTTGATGCTTCTGTCAGGAGAGATTTCATACGCATTCATTTCCTTCAGTTTGTTGATGGTTCTCTGGATGTTTTCTGGACTGTTCTCTGTCTGACCCAGCAGGCCTCCTAAAAGTCTCTGGTTGGATTCCAGAGAGAGGCCATGAAGAAAGCGGACAAACAGGTCCAGGTGGCCATTTTTACTCTCAAGGGATTTCTTCATGGCTCCATTTAAGAAGTCATCCAGAGATCCTCCTGGATGTTGTCTCTTCTTCTGCCAGCAGATTGACTCCAGAGGTGATGAAGGTCAAATGGACATGAAGAGCAGCCAGAAACTCCTGAACACTTAGATGAACAAAGCTGAACAACTTGTCTTCATCCATCCAGCCTCGTTCCTCTTTAAAGATCTCTGTGAACACACCTGAGTACACTGAGGCTCCACTGACATCAATCCCACTTTCTTTTAAGTCTCTCTCATAGAAGATTAGGTTTCCTTTTTTCAGCTGCTGAAAAGCCAGCTTTGCCAGTGACTTGATGTCCTGAATGCACTTTTCTGTATCATACTTTTCTTTTGTCAGTTTGATCTGAAACATCAGGAACTCAGTATACATCTCAGTCAGGGTCTTGGGCAGCTCTCTTCCATCTCTGGTTCTAGACAAAACTGTAGCAGTGATCCAGCAGAAGACTGGGATGTGGCACATGATGTGGAGGCTTCGTGAGTTCTTGATGTGGGAGATGATCCTGCTGGCCTGCTTCTTGTCTCTTAACCTCTTCTTGATGTACTCTTCTTTCTGGGGGTCAGTGAACCCTCTGACCTCTGAGAATATGTCGACAAAATCAGAATGGATCTGATTGGCTGCTGCAGGTCGTGTGGTTATCCAGAGGCGAGCAGAGGGAAGCAGATTTCTCGTGATGAGGTTTGACAGCAGCACATCCACTGAGGTGGACTCAGTCACATCAAAGTTAACTGACTGACTTTCATTGGTACTACAATCCAAATGAAGGCGACTCTCATCCAGTCCATCCAAAACAAACAGAAGTTTGAATTCACTTTTGTCAAAGTTGGTGTTTCCTGATGACTGTAGCGCTGTGAAGATGTGATTAAGAGCCTCCTCCTTGATGAAAACAGTTTCCTTGATACATTCATGTATGAGCTGTGCCAAACTAAAAGTTTGTCCCTTCTTTAAATTCAGCTGACGGAAGGTGAAGGGGAATATGAGATGCACGTCTTGATTGGCTCTTCTTTTAGCCCAGTCCAACACAAACTTCTGCACAAGGAATGTTTTTCCAATTCCAGCAATTCCATTGGTCAGCACTGTTTTTATGGGCCTGTATTGTCCAGAAGGAGGTTTGAACATGTCACTGGGTTTGACTGGTTTTTCTGTGTCTGTTTGCTTTCCTGCCATCTCAATCTGGCTGACCTCATGCTGTGTGTTGATGTGTACATCAGCCCCGGCTGTGATGTACAGCTCTGTGTAGATAATATCCAGAAGCTGCTCATCCTTCTTCTTTGTCCACCCTTCTTTTGCACACATAAACCTGTCCTGGAGGTTTGACTGGAGCTTTTGCTGGTAGTATGCAATGGGTTGTGGCTCTCGCACTGGAACCATCCCAGCTGCCAAACACAGATCGGAAAAAAACCAAAAACATTATTGTGTATGCCCACAAATACCTCTTTTCTCACTGGCAACAGTGAATGTGATTTTATTCCTAAAGTTTTACTTTTCCCACGTAACAAACATTTGTTAACAAAACACTTTCTTGTTGAAATAATAAAAACTAAAGGCAGTAGGCCTAGTGTGTATTAAGGTTTGCCATGATAAATGAAAAATCTCATGCCAATCCACTTAGCTTCTCTTTTCTTATTGAGACATCTCCAGTGTAATCCCACTCACTGTCATTGAATGATACAACATAAACAGTGACTGCATACGTAGATTAGTTTCAATTATGACAAGGCAAAAATTTCTCACCATTGGGGTGAACCATACATTTTGAATCAAAGCATGTAAACACAATTTTTGTGGGACTATATTTAAACCTGATTATACATCTGTCTGGTGTTGTGATGAACTATAAATGTTGCGTCAAACTTCCCCACATGATTCGTCCAGAAACAGGGCTGTTAACCTTTTTTTTCCCCTTCTTCAGTTAAACTCCATGTTTCAAACAAATCCAAATTCAGGAGGCTTCTTTCAACAGATCCACTGACACAGACATTCTGTAAAAACTGTCAGTATAATAAAATAACATTTCTTAGACTTGTGGCATTGTTATTTTCTTTTCTTGTTACTGACCTTCTTGTCCTGAGCATGTGCTGGACAAACTGTGCACCAGGTCATTTCTGGGAATCTTTGCTAACACTTTCTTGGTCACCTCCAGAACTCTGTGAATTTCATATTTCTCCACCATCAGAGTCACAGTTGTCTGCCTGTTTGCTCCCTCCAGTTTGCTCTTTTTGATGCCATCCTGCTGCAGGAACCACTTGAAACGTTCAAACTCAGATTCTCCCAGATCGTCTAGAGGTTCCAAAATATCTTCTGGTTTCATTGTGAGTTTCTGGAGAGTTCAGAGAATAGTGTCAACAAGTGTTAGCAATGAGTTGTGCTATTGCTTTTGTTGGTGTTTTTCCTGCAACTTGTTGTTCTGACAAAGATGGAATAACAATAATTACACATTTCTGGACTGTCAAACAAACTACAGTGGCCCTGAATTCCATCACACAACAACATTTAATGACAAAGCAGAAAACACATCCATCCATGCATTTTCTGTTGCTTATCTTTAGTCTGGGTGCGGTGGCAGATGGTTGAGTAAGGTAGTCTAGACATGCCTCCTCATAGTTATGTTTTCCAGCAACTCCTGGGTGATGGGATATATATACGTTTCTTAAAGGATATTGAATCTTTAATGTATATTAATATCAGTGTTATAAAGCAAGCCGAGCATAAAACTGATTATTAAATCCCTGAAATACCAGAAAAAAATGCAGAATATACTCATAATATATCAAAAGTTACACAATGTATATGCACTCATGAATAAATAAATAGGTAACACATAAAAAGGGGGAAATTAAAGGGAAAAATCCAGGGTTGGATCACTGAAAAGTCCAGAAGTCCAACCCGAACTGAGAGTAATAAAAAAAATTCCACTGGGACAATAAAGACTATCTACTTATCTACAAGCCCATACACACAGCCATGATTTCAGCTGGTTGACTGATATCACGAGAGAGGAATATAAAATTGTTCTATACACTCTTCAGCACTATATGTATATATTGCAAAGGAATGTCAATGATTAATCAATTCATTTCCATTAATAATTTAACAGATTAATAAAATACAGAATGTCCAAAAATGTGCTGTAGTTTGATGTAGTACTGGGTTATACCATGAGGCAGGGCCTGTGTTTTCTGGCTGTCAGTATGAGCTGTGCAGACTCTAAATAAGACATGCCTCTTTGCTACCCCAGGAAATAAATTACAAACAGTTTATCAAACAGCTATTAAACAAGAATACAAACTTGTAAAAGTGTGACATCTTCACCACTTTGCCTGCTATTTATTGCCTTGAAACCTCCTTTGTACCACAGAACAAAGGTGCACGACAAACTATTGAAGAGCTACACTCAAGACTGAGCAACCAAGAAACAGAATAGACACGCCCACACAGTGTGCAATGTAATGAAACAGCCTGCATTCTACTTGGTCAGGTTTCTTTAAATCTGTGCCTATTTTTGGGTTAGGTGCAGGTTTAATATGTATTATTCTATCAGTCATGACTTTGTGCCCACAATCCACAGGTAAATCAAACTACGGAGGGTATAAAACTAACAGAACAGGAAGTAGCACTGATGGTGTTAATTCCTCCTTTTCTTTCAGTGTGTTTGTGTGGACAAGTTTCCGCTCCCCCCCTTGACCCCGGTCAGGGACTAAGCGGTAGAAAATGAAAAATGAATAACACTTACCCTGCCTCAGCCTTCTGTTTGCCCTCTTCTGCTGCCTCCACTCAAAATGAACTCTGACTGAACTGTTTCTGCTGCTCCTCCCCTCCCCTCTATTTACAGGAAATCACAGATCTTTGTTTTGCAGCATTTTGCCTGAGCACCTGTTGTGGGTCACTAAGGATCAGAAACGCTCTGGTACCAAATGACTGGCATCAAGTGGAAGTCAAGCAATTATTTTATCCTCCATTTTACTTAGCTGATCCTTTACAGTATCATAGAATGGTGCTGTTGATTTTATTTGAGAGCTGCTGTACCAGAGTCATATTCCTTGTGTGTCCAACACACCTGACCAATAGAGCTGATTCTGATTCTGATTCTGATTTGTATGTGATTTTTCAAGTAAATAAGCACCTCACCCATATATACAGTATGTATATATGTTCTCATGACAGCAGTGTAGTGGTTAAAACAAATGTAGTTAGAGTTAATAAGTAATAGAGTTAATATGTAATAGAGTACAATAGGAGTATGTAGATTACCTACATATATATATGTATATTACATGTCTATTAGTTAATAGTTAAAGGTCACAGTATGACATAAGATGCTTGCATGACTCCTGCAAGCTCTGTCAATTCTTTAGAAATGTTTGTGTGCTGAGGCTGGAAATCATGGTGACCTGGGTCATTGACCTGGGGTTGTTAAGTACTGACAGCAAACTGAGAATTTGGCAACTATAGGGGAAAAACAGGAAATTATTGTGACTAATAAAAGCTCATATGTGGCTGTATCAGGAGTGAGCAAGCAAGAAAGCAAGCTGAGGCAAAAGGCAGATGGAAGAGCAGCTTTCACACACAAACTTCTCTCTGCAGAGGAAAAGGGGATTCTGTACAATAAATGTAAATAAATAGGTAACACATAAAAAGGGAGAAATTAAAGGGAAAAATCCAGGGTTGTGTAACCCACCTGAGACTACAGTAGCACAAAGATATTTGTGGAAACAAAATAGGCTACTTCAGTTACTGCATAAAGCAGGTATCTAATTAGGCCTACAACAAGTCTACAAAAGTCTGCTTCTCCAGGGCCTGTAGGTTTAGCATCTGCAGATTTGTTTCATTTATCTCTGAAGGCTAGCACCTGAACTTATCTAAATAGCTCACGCTCCAAAGGAACACTCACCCGCTTCAGACTTAAGCTGATAAATTAAATCTTTAATTTAAAAATGTAATAGCTCATATATCAAACATCTACTGATGATATCAAAAACTGTTTTGTACTGTTTAGTACTGAAGAGTATGTGCAGCAAGAACATGAATGCATCTCTCTTCCTCTTTTGTAAATAGTTCAGTTGGCTAGATAGCCTTCATGTCTCCTGTAGTTTCCATCCTGTATATTGTTATGGATTATAATGTTTTATCCTTGACTAATTTGATATGTGTCTTATGGATTTAAAAATGTAAATGTAAATATTTCTGTCATGATTCATTACTGAACACATGGCCTGTCAGGCTCAGCTATCCACAGTGACTGGAACCTTTAAAAACATACACCTGCTGATGAACAAGACTGAAAAAGCAGAGGGCAAAATCTATTGTTTGCTCGCAGAATTTTAATCATGTACAACTATTAATAAATCAAGATAATCTAGACAAAAATAATCAAGTGTTATGGTGCATGTTTGTTTGTTTGTTTTCCTTCTCCAGTTCAGCATCCTGAGCCTACAGCAATGTGCAGGATTATCATGTTTTGGTTGAATGGTCTGATTAATATTTTTTAACTTTCAACATTAGAGTTCACAAAAAAGTTTATTTCTGGGAACTTTCAACATTTCCTTTTGTGTTGCTGTGATGAGAGACGCTGTCATCACAGCCCATTCTACAGTGTGATGCTTGCCAAGGTTTCTTCCCGCTGCTCCATGACTGCTAGTCTAGTAAGCGGACACCACATGCACAGTACCTCAGTGTCTATGTGTGAACAGGAGTCTTGTTACTGCTGCTGGAACAAACGCTGCAGGTAGGGGTAATGCTGCTTTCACAGACCACTCTAAACTACAACATCTGAATTCTCCAGTCAAAAGAGAACCTGTTCCATATTAAAGTATTTTAGGTCAGATTAACATATCTGTGTCTGGTATAAACATACAAATGTTTCTGTCTGTGATGAACAAATCCTGTCAAATTCAGTTACACTGGGACATAACTGAAGACTAAGGATTTTCTTCCACTTCAAAAGACATACAAAACAAAAGTCCTGTCCCTTAGAGTTTATATTTTTAGCTAATACAATTACAAACCTAATTATTACTCCCATCTACCAAAAGGTCGGTAATAAAATTAAAAAGAAATAGAAATAAACTGCAGCAGTAGTCTGGGCCAATAAAATTAGGAAAGAAATAGTCTGGAGAATGGCTCTAAATTTTCACTTGTGAATCAAAAGAAGAAGAATTGTGCAGCTTTGTTTATAGAAACTAGAATTTTATCAAAGCATCTGAGTGATTCTTTAGTGTTTGGTGTTAATATTAAGACTTTCCATTTTTTTTTGTGTGTACTGTTTTCAACCTTATGTATGTGTTCATGTTGCATGGGGGAGGAACACTTACACACAGTAAGATACTAATCCCTACATTTATGTTGCCAATATCAGATATGTGGGATGTTATTCATTAAAAATCTAGGATATACAAACCATTTTATCTAATAACCAGTGGTGGAGGTCCATTAAAAGTTTAAATGTCTACTGTGTATATAAATCAAACCACATGTCAAATTATGTAAATATTATATTTTGTGTAATATACAATATATAGTATCACTGATGCACCTCTCCTAAGTTTACAACTGCTGGTGTTTTAAAACTGTTACATTTTATTTTATTTTATGTGGGTTATATTGATTTCTCTGGTGTTGTTTTTTTTTTTTGGTTTGCCTTATTTCCAACATTACTTGAAGGCACCACTTATCTCAGAGCAAACACAGACATCAGTGCTACGTATGCACCTTGGCAGCGGAATCCCGGTGCAGCACCACCAAGGATCCTGTAGTTATAACAGGGAAGATGCACTAAAATGTGACAGCTGCAGATGTCTGACAGTGCTGCTGTTAGATGATTAAAACTGGTGCCTTCTGTTGGTTGCTGTTGCTAATCCGACTGCCCAAACTCCTGGAGCTGTCTAAGGTAGGACTCTCTCCCCTGGTGTCCTGTGTATCCGCTGGTAACCACTCCTGACTGGCTTCCAAGCGCAACTGCAGCAGTGTGACAGAATAATGAGAAGCAACAACTAAACTAAAGCACATTTACTTTTCATTTCTGTGACACTATCTTTGACCCTTAACAAAGATAACTTTTTTTCTACAGTTACAGATCTCATCAAAATGCCAACATCTGCTGGCCAGATGTTCTTGACAGATTAAATGTGGGACCATGTTAAAACAGTTAATAGGAGCACAAGTGGCCTCACTGGTCTCATTATTGCTAGTTTGTTCAATAAAGCTTGCATTATGAAAATGTTAGCATTATTTTTGGGTGGGTGTGGTGAAATGAGGCATTGGGACATTGTTCCAATACTTCTTCTTTAATAGGCTTTTGTCAAGTATTATATGCTTTAAGTCTGGGTCACCTCTGACCACATACCTGTAACCACATCCAACAGTGATGTCACTGTGTCTGCCTGAGCTCTGAGTTGACTGTAGTTACCTGATCTGTCCGGGAAACCTGGTTTGTTTTACGCATGTGCAAAATGTGGCTACTTCCAGAGTGGATATGGTTAGGCCAAGATCACTAGGTGATACAATAGCACTCTGCTATAAATTTCTTGTTTGCATATGCATAGAACAAACTGGGTAGGCAGTACAGATTGGGTAGTGAGATTGATCAACTCTGAAATAGGAAACTTATCGGTTTTCGGTTCCAGATCAGCTGATTGGAGTGTGCTTTAAAAAGTCAGCATCAATGGAGCGCCAATTCTACAATTCACGAAAGCAGAGCAGAGCTGCAATTTTTATGTGTGACAATGCACACTTGTGCTTAGGTAAAGCACTTTTAATTGCCTCTGTGTATGAAATGTGCCATTCTGTATTTAAAAAAACAACAACACAGCAGCAACATCAAAAGAGCCTGTGTATTAACACTGTGTTGTCACAGATCAGTAAAGCTATAATTTTGTCATAGCTATACTACATTAATTTTTTTAAATAGCTTTATACAGCTGCAACCTGACGGGTTTTTAATCTGCTTCCATCAATATGTCTGGAGATTAATACACCCCGATTTACATTTTGATATAGACTGTATGAATAAGTAAAACGAAGTACCAGACAGTGTCAGACACCTTCTTCGGGCTTGGCAGGAGAGAAGGAAGCAGACAGAAAGTCAGAATTTGCTGAAGAATACCTACCAGTGAGCAGGTCAGCTTCACAGAGTAACCTGTCACAACAACAGACAGAGTTATAGTGATCTTTGTTTCTGGAAATGAGAAAGTACACCATATTGTCACTTAAATGGCATCATTGTGTTTAATAATATCCATGTCCTGCTACCTAACACTTTTCATTACATTTTAGAGACAGCTATTGTACCTTTACTCCACAAGTTCATATAACAACTTTAGTTACTAATTACTTTTCAGAATCAGATTACCGGTAATAATTGTTTTCCTTCAGTTGTCTTTTCCCACATAGGATACAAAGGGGAAAAAAGCAAGGAAACACGTGACAAGAAATGACTCGAGGAAACACATTATTAATGACATGAGATGTCCTTTGTCCAGATCCTTCATCTGAGGCATCCAATCACTGATTTCTATAAATGGCCATGTACATACATTCATAAAAAAAAAACTTGTGCAAAGTATGGTCTTGTGTATCCTTGCTTATGGTTCCTCCAACAACCTCCTCTCTCCTTGGTCCTCAGAGCATTACAAGAAAGCTGGAACCTTCTCGGTCCTTGGTCAGCCAAAACAAGTTGGGTTTGACCAATGATCTACAAGCATTCCTATAAAAGACTTGTCATCTGTTAAAAGTCTTTTCTCTCTCTCTCTCTCTCTCTCTCTCTCTCTCTCTCTCTCTTTCTCTCTCTCCTTTTTGCAGCCTTCTCCTAACTTATGGTAATCAATTGTTAGAATTATCATCACAAGTTTATCTCTTACAATTTAAATGAATTTCGCATATTAGTTTTTCATGTTCAATTACCTATCCTTGTAAAGCAATTTGTATCAGACTTTTCCCCCATCCTCATAAAATGTCAACCACTCATTCTATTTTATCATGGTCCTGGTTCACTGATGTCTCTCTACATGCTGCTCTTTCACAAACACATTTTAGGCTGTGATTTGACTGATTTACAGTATAGAGACAGGGGGGAAGCCCATTTGAGCCACTGTGGCTCCATGGGCCTCCAGTTTCTAATTAGTTATCTAATAATGACACCTAGTGGAAAGTACAGGGACTGCACTTTTTAGTTTTTGTGGCATGAGTTCAGCAGAGCACTGAACTGCTAGAAAGTGTCCTTTGATGTAATGTTAATTTTGTTATCATTTTTAAATTTAGCATTAAACTTAAGTAGTAACATCCTTACTTTGTCCTTAGCATTACCCCAGTTCCTTGTGTGGTGCGTTTTCAGGTGTCTCTTGGGGTCTGTGGTATTCTTCCAGTTATTTGTAGCCACAGGGCCTCTCTCCTGACAGTACCATTGCTACACACTTTGTTACTCTGTGCCACGATATTTGAAGTCAATTCAAATATCAACCTTGACCAAGCCTCACTGTTGCCATCATATGCCTTTTCTAAAACAATTTCAAATGATCAAGCACTGGAAAAAAAGGTTGGATTATGTGAGTGTTTGATAAAACAGTTTGTGTAATTTTGTCTTTGTCAGCAAAAATATGTTTAAATAGATTTTTTATTTCAAGTTTAGCCACCTTTTTAGTCAGTATTTTATAGACCTAGTCACAGTTCATGTTTAATGAAATCAGTTTCATCTCACTCATGACTAATCTTTGTTTTAAAAAAAAGTTTCTTGACAAGTACACATTATTTTGGCACAGTTTTTTCACAAAAATAATGTTACATTTCTTTAGTGAGAAGGAACACTGACATGTGACCTGTGTCCTAGTTCTGCAATGTGTATAACACTATTGCTAATACAAAACATTCACAGTATATTGAGATTTACAGAGTATAGTACACTTTGGGATACAAGATAGACCAACTGGTTAAAGGGTCTCGGTGGATGAAGAGACATCATGATGTCCTGGATTTGAATTCATCCCAGAATATTTGTTGCTCTTTCTCTTTTTTGCTCTCCAGATCATTTGTCTGTGAACCTTTTGATTTTTAACTTGGCTGTTGTTTTCTTCTCTCTGCAGTGCAAAATTATAAGGACATCAGTTCAACATGCCTTCAAAACAACTCCTTAGAAAAGAGCTAAGGAAACTGTACACCTCACTGGCTGCAGAGGTAAGATATGTTTCATAACGACAGTTACACAGAAACCTCTGGCCTTTAACTATTCTAAACTTTCTTTTACTGCTCAGCAAGTTTCACCACGCAGTTTTAAATGGTTTTTGTTCATTTACTTTTTCCATTTAGATTAGCTGTAGTGTATACAGATTAGCTGTAGTGCTTCCGGGCACTTTTCTACAAAAATATTCACCATCTAGTGGCAAGAGAATAAGTCACAAATTTCTGCAATGTAGTAAACCAAGTGTGTTTTAATGCAACCCTTTTATGCAATCAGGGGCTGGGACTACAGGGACGGTTTGCCACTTAAAGTCCTAGAGAAATGGAAGTTGGAGGGGTTTTAGCTTCAATAATATAATGTATTTCAAAATGAAATGGAATATGTGATGTGGTGTCATTACGTGATTTAAATCTAATTCTGTGATTTTGATTGTATGGATAAAAAGTGAGCATGGCTTAACCAGGGTGATGCAGAGCTGTGGTAAAGATACAGTAGAGTAGGCCTAGATATGAAGCAGTAGAGGACTGTTAGCTTTCCCCCACAGCTCTCTCACCTGCATTAAATAAAAGTCTTAATAGGAAAGAATCTTGACTTCGGGTCTCTTTGATTCCATGTGCATGGGAAGCAGTGCACTTGATACTAGCACTAACAAAAATGAGTGAGCAGAAAACATAAACCTGTGTTATGCTGTTGTAACCCCTGCCCTATGTCTCACTCGGGGGGTTGAATCTCAGCCTCCATTTCTAACATTTCCATTATCTCTTTAAGGAGAGAAGTCAGCAGCAGACATTCAGGCATATAATAAAACCAGCCACGTATACCTTCAGTTAGTGCTTCACTTCCTAGCTATGCCTTGAGCGGTTCCCATGAGAATCAGAGCTGTTTCTGACTGTCTCTAGCTTACTTTTCTCTGCACCAAAAAATTTACTCACTACTCAAACCAGTGCATTCATTTGAGTAGAACATATAACATACAGTATATAAGAGCAAAATTCATGAGTGGAACAGTGCAGGTAGATTTATATCACAATTAAGAGCCACCCATTGTCCTAATCAGCACCTCTGATTAACACATATCTGCTCATAAACTGTGTGTCAACCTGTGTGTGTGAGAGAGAGAACTGATAATCTCTTCATCATCGGCCCATGAACACATGGGTGGAAAGTGGGTGAGACTGCAATAAAGTACTGCATACTGCAACTCATAAATATCTGAAACATGACACTAGGCTAGACTAGCTTATTTGTTAAGAGTTTTGTTTTGTATTTTATAAATATATGCACCATCTTATTTGTGACTGGAAAATCTGGAGCCTAGATTCAAGTCACTTGAATGAAAGTTGTTCTCCTGCCACATACACCAAAAGAAGAGGTTTCTCTTGTTCCCCTGTTCATCTCAGCTGCATAATTTTTCTGTTGCTATTTTTCTGGCTTTGGCATGGGGGGTGACATACCTATTCATATTTTAGCCTATAGACTTCTAGCTGGTGCAGTTGTTTTTACAGCTAGGACACAGAACCCCAGACAACCCCAGACCTCTTTGATTCTAAAAAATTCAGTAGTCTGGAACCATGGTAATGCATTTTTCGCGAACACAGTGCTACAGTGGCTGGCCCTCCTTGGTGGTGGCCCAGCC